TAGATAGGCTAGTAGTGGCAATAACTATATACACATTGAGGACCCCTGAAATATCGAAACCCAAATTAGGGGCCGTGTGTGGTTATATTTTTTAGTGATCGTCTAAAGCGGAACCAAGCGGAGCATAATCACGTGATATATACCTATAAAATTTTGGAATCGGATGATAATTTAAAAATTTTGAGCTATTTTTTTTTGAGTTTATAATAAAAATGTATATATGGGATTTTATATTTTTAAAATTGAGACCCCCAAATTCTCAGCATCATCCGATTCCAAGCTTCATCCCGACAATAAATATATATTATACGTAGGAATCTGCTCCGCTTTAGACGCCCCAAAATAAGGAAATTTGAGAAACGATATCCTGCAAATTTAATTGTTCACAAAATCAACATAGCCTCGGAGGTCATTTTCCTAGAAAAGATCCCCATTTGTCGCAGCTGAAGCTGGAAACGGCTGAAGCCGGAAATTTTAAATACTTTGGGGTGCATTTTTTTAGCATTTTTTTTTTTATAGTTAGCTTAGAATTTAGGGTTAGTTTGGATACTGTAAATAAAAATGTATACGTAAGTGAATTTTGGTACGTACGTACGTACGTGGGGTTTATACGTATTTTCAAATCGAGTCCAGCTTTAGCCATTTCCAGATTCAGCCGCGACAATTATTAAGCGATACGTAATATAAATCAATTTTTTTTTTTAGATTTTGGATAATTTTTTATTGATAAGTCTTTTCATATACAGAAATTGATTTTTTGCACCAAAACATATAACAAAAACCCAAATGGTATTTCGAACAATTTAGTAAAGTTTAATTTAATTGGTAAAAAGTTCTATTTCATATAATATGTTCATTTTACCATTTTACTTACCAACATTCATATTACCCACATTTATCTTGTGGACTAAAATTGTATATAGGTTTGAATCAAGTAATTATAATAATAATAGGATCACATCAGACCCGATTTTGTGTTCCAAAAAATGATACGTAGCGGTCCATAATTAAATATTGTGAATAGAATAATTCAACGGTTTTCAAAGTGTGCAGTTCTTTAGCGATCACGTGTAAATTACATTATTGAATTATACAGCACAATATGTATGACAAGTCAGTCATCAGACAGCGATGGGAATTTTTCCAAATCAACAATCAACAGAAATCGCTAGTTTCTAAATTCAAATAGAAAGAAACCATTTTAATAATAATAATAAAGCCTTAAATTTACCACAAATATTAAACAATAAGAATGATGAAATGTGGTTCGTAATTTACCACATTAATTATTATTAAAGGTTTTGACTTAATAATGATGTCATTCTTGTTGTGAAATTCTTTATATAATGTACTTTTTTTTAAACAAAAAAAATACTTTTTTATAATTCATGTATTCCTTGAAGTGACTAACGTGTCGAACTTTACACTTGGCAGTTGACCAATGGTTCAGAATATGCCAACTGTAGTAAGTGTTATAAAAAAACGCACGAATAAGCAGCATTGATGTTACTGATGACAGTATGATGACATATTTTTTACATTATATATATAAGCGGATCCCCTGATATACATACAATAACTTGTTGCAAAAACGTCACCCTTTTTTGAAAGTTTGCTGCCGTCACCTTCACTCGTCATAAAGAGCGACGTCGTCAAATAGAGTTTTATAATATGCCTCAAGAAGTACAAGGACAAACGGCTGTTGACGACACCAAGTTGGCGACAGTCACTTCAGCCACCACAAATAAAAATAAACCTGACAAAAAACAAACAAAGACCGACGAAATTTCAAAATCACTAAAGAGAACAGCACCTACCGACATAACCGGACAAGGTGATGCAAAACGTAAAGCAACTCATATTTCAAAAAAACCAATAGAAAAATCTGATGATAGTTCCACTTTAAAAGGATCCAATCCCAGCTCAATTGCTGCAAGTGCCGCGGCTATTTTGTCTGGCGTTCCTTCTACTATTGCCCAAAATGTAGCGGTTGATTTAGCACAAGTAGCACCTAAACATCTCACAACAGAAACTATACCCGTTTCTGCACCTTTAACAATAGATCCTTTGAACTCTCAGATTGCAGTGGCGCCCTCAACTTCCAGCGAACAGTCTACAGTTTCCGAACACTCACCACCTAACATGGAAGAGCTTTTGAATAATAATCCCCAGACATTGGCACAAGTTCAACTTCAATCACAAGATGTTAATTCTGGCGGCAAACGTACATCTGCTTCTCGTAATCTTTCCAGTGACGAACGTCGGCAACGACGACTTCTGCGTAATAGAGTTGCAGCTAAAGAGTGTCGACGTAAGAAAAAAGCATATGTTGCAGATCTTGAAGAAAAAGTTACACGTTTAGAGGAGGAAAATATTCGACTCCATAAAGAAGTTGAGGAACTGAATTCAAAGTTAGCTATAAGTGCTGCACGAATGGATGAGAACGTTCGATTGCGAAAAGAAATAGAAGAGCTAAATGCTAAATTTGCATTGCGTTCTGGTCATAACGATGTTAAAAAAGAGTCTAAATCACCTAAATCACTTCATAAGGGTGAATCTAATTAGGTCGCGACTAGGGTTGCGACTCAAACTTTCTGGAATTATGACATTACTATACTATATCTGATATAGTTTGGGTTTGGAATCGGGATTTCTACTTCATTTGAGATAATAATCAAAATCTAAATATATGTCCATTCTCAGTCGATAGTGTAAAATTCAAAAAAACCAATAAAATTTGTTAAAATCAATGCTATAAATTATTCAAACTGTTATTTTTATTTTCAAACTAAGAATCTAAAGGGGATTTAGAGACTGGGCAGGATGGATATATTGAATAAAGCAATATATTACGGTAGATCTAAGATTATCTCGAATGTGAAAAATAATTATAAAAATGAGTGTTTTTAACATCCAAAACAAAATTCAAATCATAAAAATAATAAACCTTTCGATCAAATTCCTTCGAAATTCGGATTGAAGTGTTTAATATTAATAGTTCTTAGAAAAATAAAAACCCTTAGTAAAATTGATCCCTTATATAATGATGGCCACCATTGTTGATTAACTCTGTAATTGTTAACGTTAACGTTAGCGTTAATTGATAAATGAATTACCCGTGACTTTCCAAAATCATCCTAAAAAAGTTCTTGTATATTTCATATGATCTTTTCAAAATATATCGGTATAGCGATGTTGAAGATACCATTTTTTTTTAAATACTGTAAATACTAAATATATACAATGATTAAATATATAGATACATGATTAAATATTACGTAAATAATTGTTTCTTCTGATACTTTAAAATATAATAATTGCATTCAAAGTATTCAAAGGAAAAATTTTTAGTTTTCACTATATTTAAAAAATTTCATTCGATCGACTATAAAAGATGCTATAACATTCAATCCAGTACAAATAGTTCTTACTGAGGATAAAGACACCGAAAAAAAAAATCAAAATGGTACTTATCTTAGAGGCCCTTACTGACACACTTTTTTGTAACTAGCTATCAACTGGTTACCTGGTTGTTGTCTAATCGGTTCACGTTACTACTAAAATCCATAACCGCTGCAGCAAAACTAATTTTAAAGAAAAGAGAACTTGGACCAAATTCATATGTCTTAGCTTCTTTTGCATTCGACTTCAATAGATTATGGATCCAGAACCAATTTTACATGTAAAATTTGAGAGTATTAGCCGCTTCTCAACCTTTAAAAAGAATTTTTTTTGTAATAATTACTAGGTGTCTTTTCTAGAGGTGCAGACATATTGTCGTAATTAGTTACGACCTATTTTATTTTTATTGAGGTAATTAGGTTACGACTTAGTTACGATAGTCTGCACCTCTAGTTTTTTCTTACAAAGTATATACGTACGTACGTACGTATATAAATAAAATAAAAAAATAAATTTTTTTTTAATATAAAATTAAAATTTAGGTTAGTCGGGTCTCCAAACCTAATCCCAGACTAGTAAATTTGAGTCGCATCTCTAAATTTAACAAATACGAATTAAATGAGACAAAACCAATCTCAAAGTCTGATTTTTGCTTTCTTAATCTATATATTTTTTTTACAATATTTTTAAAAAATATATCTCATAATATCTTGTTTAGAAGCGTGCTCTTGTAATATTTAGTTTTGGGACTCGCTTTATTTCTATTTTCAACAAATTTTTCTTTTTGATTATACACGGGAAATGAGAATTCGGGATTGGGAAATTTCAATGAAAATTGACTAATAAATAAAAGCACAAATTCCTTTAAGAATAATGACCAAATATACATTTACAGATATACTTTTTTTCAAATAATATCGTCTTTAATTGTGTAAACAATAATTAACATTTAATATCTTTCTGCCGGGATCGATGTTATTAATAAAATTATAGAAAAGATCTTGACAGTATTTAATTTATTTTTGACTTTTATTTTCCATACAAAGTATATCCGTGATTAAGTAATTTCGATGGTAAAGGTGTCACTCTACCAGAAGGTTGCATTTTCAACATCGACACAAATTCTTTAAAAAGATTTTTATGATCCTAGATTTTATAAATTTTAAATTTAATAATTAATAATATACATTTATAATAATAATAATAATAACATAATACTAACCTCATTAATGAAAGTAATAGCCCATCCGTTAACGCCACCACTAGCACGACCACATTGGTGAACATATTCATCAATAGAAACTGCCATATCAAAATTCACAACCATATTTACAGTGGACAAATCTAGTCCTCTGCTTAATACACCCGTGGAAACGATTATTTCATATTCCCCATTTATAAATGATTGAAGAATATGCGTTCGTTCCTTTTGAGACTTGTCACTATGTATACTTATAGTCCGTGCGTCACATTTTTTCTCAATTGCTTGTGATAATAAATCAGCCCCCATTTTAGATTCGACAAATACAATTATTGGTGGTCGATAATATTTTGGATCATTTAGGATTGAAAATAATTGCTTCTTTTTAGACTTGTTTTCTACCCATAAAATTGTTTGTTTTACTGGAATTGTTAACATAGATGGTGTGATACTTTTTCCATTATTATTGTTATTATTAACTTTATTTACATTATTTATACATTCTCCAACAGTAATCCTTATATGATTATGAAGTAGTAGATTTGCGTGTTTTTCAATATTATCAGGAATTGTTGCTGAAAACATGAGAATCTGTAGACGTGTATTTGATGATGAGTTTATTTTATCCATTATTTCGGTGACCTGTTTTTCAAATCCCATTTTAAACATCATATCTACTTCGTCGATAACAATCATATGAATATTAGTCATCATTAATTCCTCGTATTGATTCATTACACCAAGAAGTCGTCCAGGCGTAGCAATCACGATTTGTACACCTTTTTTCAACCGGTGAACTTGATTGGACATAGGTACACCACCAACTATAAGCGCTGTTTTCATATTTTGTAAACCTGCAATCATTTTTTTTGCTAGTTCTTCAATTTGTGAACACAATTCCCTTGTCGGTGCCATGATTATAGCATAAGGTCCACCCTTACCCTCACGAAATTGTGATACCGTCCAAGCATGAACGATTATTGGTATTAAGAAAGCTGCGGTCTTTCCAGATCCAGTTTGAGCACTTGCCAATATATCGCGTCCAACTAGTGCTGTTGGGATTACTTGCATTTGAATTTCTGCTGGTTCCAAATATCCGATCTGTTGCAAATTGTCGGCCAACTTTGGAGGTAGTTTGCAATGTTCAAATTTGCTAATGGGACATGGAATATTTTTGCCCCGTACGATTATTTTATTCTTCGATAAAATTGATTGCACCTGAAAATTTGTCAAAATTTTAATTTCTGGATGTGGTAAGTAAGCCGTTAGTTGTGCATGAAAAAGATCTGAGGGAATTTGTAGGAGCATTTGTGATGAATCCCCTGAAACAAATGTGGTGTTTGCATTATTATGTGAATGTTGGGGAACTGGCTGCGTGGTTTTGTGTAAAGGTTGAGAAATATCTTTTATTATTTTCGTTGTTCTCTCTATGTCTATTTTCTTACACTCTATGCTACAGATGTCATGATCCGTTTCGTCACAAATATATTCGCCATATTTTCCGCTATAAATATTTAAATAGAAGTCACAGTTAATTAAAAAGGTTTATTGAGCTCGCAAGGATCAAATTCCTTGCACACCTTTTACGATACGTAATTAACATTTACAAACATACCAAACCACGCAAACTGGTTCCCCAGTCGACGCTTCTCGTTGTTGATAACAGTATTCTTTAACAGGATCAATCTCTTCAGTTTCTTCGACGTTATTGTTAACTTGTTTAGGTGATTTTACAGAATTTAGAGCAGAAGGTTCATCCGTTCTTTCTATGTTAGTGACAACTTGTGTGGTGGTTTTTACTCTCTTATTTGTTTTAACCGGTGTTGTAGAAGATCTTTTTATCGCGGATCGAGGCACAAACATTGTTTAACGAAACTTATGGAAGCAATACCGCCATTTAAATAGCATTAGAAGTTATTGAAATGATTGGCTAACGTTAAGAGTTACGCGATCAGAAAGGTATGACTAGTAGTACAGTCAGGGAATATACCAAATCGGATATAGGATAACTTTCTTCTGATTGGTCAATCGCTTTCAATTGTATTTATACAGTTTAAAGTACTTTTTAAGAAT